CAAAACTGGGGCTGGAGTGGAGGTGGGAGCCATGGCGAGAGCGGGGTTGGGCGAGGCGCGGCGTGCGGGCACCGCAGCTCGCAGGCGAAGGCGCGTAACAGTGCTTAAGGGACGCGTTACATGTGTTAGCTAACGATGTTTCGCTGGCATCGATCAGGCGCGCCGCGTGCTCTCGCCGAGGCGCGCAGTCGCTTCGCGGGGCGCGCGCAGCCGTGAGTGCTCCGCGCCGCGCAGTGCGCAAACATGCACAAACTGAAACGCTAAGACGCGCGCGTGGCGCAACCTCCCGTACGCGACAGCCCGGGATCGCGTTACCTGTTCCAGCTCGAAGACCACGCGACTGTGCGGGGCCTGGCTACAAACTCAGCTGCATCACAAGTCCTTGGTAATTTTCAAGTAACTTTCTTGCTCGTATCAGAGAAGCAGCAAACATTTAGACAGAATTTACTGGATACTCTTAATTCGTAGTAAGCTCACGCCCGAAACGGTTGTTCTAAGTAGGGTTGCTTGCATCAACCTTGAAATAAGGGAAAAGGATATCTGCGGGCGCAGTGCTGTGAACTGTTAGTATTTTTAGAGCGATAGCAGCCAACACATTCAACTCATAACGATTAACAAGTTCTATTTGTTCATTTAATGGGAAATTTAGCGCGAACTGATGGTTGTAATCTAAAATGCCCGGAGTACACAATCACAATCATTACATGCACGAAAACTGTGTATTGAATTTTTCACCCTGACACATTTAACTTATTAGTTTTGGAATCAATGTTTTGAAATCATGAAATAATTTCTATATAGAATGTGATATATAGTTTTTTAAATGTTAATTTGATGGTGTTCTGCAATCAGATTAAAATTAACTAATAGCTTACTGAAGTACGATGATAGTCTAATGTATAAAGCAGGATACAGGAAACCCCAGTATGGTCTAAACCAGAAATTTCAAACAATTGGATTCATAAAACCATTACAAGTTTTTCTCTAGCGTACAACACTACACAGCATTTATAATAATAAGACATAAATCTATCTTGTCTTAAAAATTACTATTCCTCATAATATTTTCATAAATATCTTGATATCCAGTAATTCGTTACTCTTCCTCTTGACTGTCCGAGTTTATAATATTTGTTGCTGGGTAATGGTTACAAACCGCAGTATATGTTGAGCTTTTTTCTTTCCTTTTTTTTTTTTTTTTTTTTGAAAAATTGGTCATTACATTTCTGAAATGCGTATTGCGAAGAATATTTTCTTGTGCCACATAGAACGTGAAATGCATATTTATAAATTCTTAAGTTTCCTAAAAATTTTAACGATACGCGATGTATACGCATCAAGACGTGCAAATTTGTACGTGTATTCACTAATATTTATTTGTTATCAATGAGATGTTCATCTTCTCTATATTCATCAGTCTCTGTTTCCTATTTCGTCATTAGGTCCTTGTGGGCCACTTAAACCTACCTTCCTTCTTTATATATTTAAACGTCAAATACTGTTAATCTGTGTGCGACGTATTATGAGAAGTGTGCTCTCTGCACGTTTTCTTAAATTCTTGGATCCCATCCTAACTTGTATACAAAATAATCTTGTATATAGATACAAATAAGTATTTTGGGCAAGAGGTTATAAGAAAATATTGGTTCCCCTGTAATAGAAAGTATTTGCAAAGTAAAATCAGCTATAGATGTCTATATTTGGGCTATTATCCCTCATCATGCTCTTCAGAAAGGAATCGACAGACTTCCGCGAGAACTTGGAGAACGATAATTTGAGAAACTTTATTTCCCGCCGAAGTCTAGAAAAACGTACACAGATGCACATATCAAGTTGCATTTCATCGATCATAAGATTTGTTAATCACCATTTACACATTTAAAATTTCATCGACCCCCTTTCTCCTGGAGGTCACTGCCTACCTCGTTGGAAAATTCCTGTTCTAAACCGTTTACAATATGGAAATGTAATTACCAATAAATATGTATAATATTCCCCCAAAACATTATGGGAAACATTATACAATATGTTTTAAAAGTATTATTAATAGTTTTTCATTTTTGATAAGTATTGAATCTTCTTTTTAATTTCTAGATTGAACTACTTTTCCACCTGCAATTGATATATTGTTAATTGGAAATCCTATGCCTCCATTTGTTAATGTTTAAAGAATGATTTTATAAAAAAGGGGAGTTAGAATATTCTTCTCGTGCCCTGTGAACGCCCTGAAATACAAAGGATATCCTTATATGGATGTGAGTATATAAATATTGCCCGCATTGCGTACTACTACTATGAGGTTATTGCAAAAGAAGTGCCAGTTTGATATGGAAGAAATTTCCACGTATTAGGAGATGGAAATCTGTGCAAGCAGGTGAAACGTGCATGAATTTTCGGTAACGATGTAGGGGGAAGAAAACGCATTATGACCTGAAATATTTTTTGGTTTCCGTTTCCTTCCCGCCTCAGCATGGATAGCTGTACTTTCCTCTCTAGTCCTTTGTCCCAACGGGAGGGCAGCTGAGTTAGCACCGCGTCTGTTGGGTCAAGGACAAGACGAGGGCTGGGTCAGGGTCAACTTCCCTGTCAATGGTGTCTTTTGTCCATTGCTGCAAAATTAATCGTTGCAAGTGCCAACTTCAAATGACGATGCAGAAATAGTTTTTTACACCGAAGTTTCACCTGTTCTTCAAAACGTAAACAAACAATACATTTTGTATTGTATTTATAGGAATATATCTATTGATGTTAAGTGAAAAACCGAAGTTATAATTGAATATTAAATAATTAAAATAATACGAACAAAATGTTACAAACAAAAGCTCCTCGATATATTACATGCCTCAGTGATACAGAACTGTTGTGTGTATACCGTATTTTGAAGCCATAACCATTAAGACGATTCTGGAGATTTTAAATTAGTACATGACGCACCCGAATTGAGACTGCCCTTCTTTTAATAATATTGTCTCCTATTATTTTAGCTTTCCTGCCAACACGTACCGACCTCACTTGCTTGAGTAAATAGTTCCGAACAGTCACTCAACAGAAAAGCTCAGCGTGTATATTATGTTCCTCTTGTGGGGAGAACTTACGTTGGCCAGAGGAAGTGTCTGCTAACTTCCCTTGCCTATACTCGTCGTCGTCGTCGTCGTCGTCGTCGTCGTCGTCGTCGTCGTCGTCGTCGTCGCCGCCGCCGCTGCCCGCTGAAGTGTTAGGTAGCCCTTTTTGCTTCCCTTAAAGGGACACGTTAACGTCGTGCCAGCGCCACGTTTACAGGTGCGCCCTCTTGGCTGACTTTCGGGATCTCTATTTCCGGTCGTTCATTCAGCTCATTTATTTTGGTGTTGATTGTACATAGAACTCCAAATATTCGAATCCAACGAGGGTTAAATATGTTTCGATAAACGTACATGCTAACGAATGGCTTGATCTAAGAAATTAACTGAAACAGACGGTATGCATTGAAAATATCTTCCGTTCATGAAATGAGTTTAAATAAACGTAATCGAAGGAAAATGCAATTTATATTTGTATAAAAAATAATATATTACGTATGTTGATTACATACCCACATAATAATATTACAAATTTTTCATTCATGAATTAAAAAAATATAATTACTTTTACTACAAATTACAATTAGTCCAATCATTTTTCTGTTAGTTTGACGAGAGAACAATAACGATCGATCAAAATGCAATGTATGCTACATATACTTTTCTAATTTTGACGTCTATGTTTTTCTTTTTCCTTCCCAAAACGATTGGGATAATTCGTTATTAAATTACCGCAGTCAAATCTGACTAGGGATTCGTATGAACATTTGTATCCAAGTTAACCTGGACAAATGGAAAATCCTATAATATAATATAATATAATATAATATAATATAATATAATATAATATAATATAATATAATATAATA